GACTAATGCTCTTGTAGCTGAATGAACACAGTGGAATCTAGTGGAAAGCCTTCCCAGAAGAGTGGAGCTCATTATAACAGCAGAAGGAGAATAAATCTGGAATGGGATGTTCAACAAGCACATATGGGTGTGATGGTCAGGTGTGCACACACTTTTGGCTGTACAGTGTACCTGGTAGCACGTGGTTTAAGGTATTATACAAAGAGATAAAACGAACCCTGTAAAAGAGAGAAGTATTCATCAGTGGCTTTCTTCATGATCTCTGGGGTGCACGTAGCGTCTGTAAACATGTCCAGAAGCCTAGCCCTGGTTGTCCTCAGATCGCTGTATCACAAACAAAATCAGTATCAGCAAGTTTTGTTCCCAATCACAAAAAGTCGTATCATTTCCATCACCCGAGGTCAGATCAGCTCTGAGCTTACTTGCAGATTTTATTGGCAGCAGGACTGGATGCCACTCCATACAGGTTGAAAGAGACGGGCGCCGTGGCCTTCAGAGGATTCCGGTGAAACCAGTGCGTCATGGTGCAGCTCCTTACACACCTGTGCTCAGAAACCTGTTACATCAGAGGAGGTGCTCAAACCCACTGCTGATGTTCTTACACTTCAGTACTAATGAGGGTTTTTTCTTCTTTGTCACAGCTTACAGTGACTGTAACACATTTTAACTGTTGAGTCAACCGAATATCCTTCCAAAATCACATCCTTATATATCATTTATTTATACATAAACATGTATATATGACGTGGAAAGCTATTATATACTATACATTACACCTTCACATGAATAGACTATGATGAAATGAAGCTAGCGTTAACTACGCAGCATGAACAACACACACAACCCTTTAAACACAAGCTGACAAAAAACACCTCACAAACAACCAGAGCATTACATACTGACTACTGAATTCACCTGCAAGAGCGAAAAGGAAACTACTGAACTGTCAAACCTCTTTTTTTAATCAGAACCGCTTCCAGAAAAAGCCCCAGCAGCTAATCCAAAACAGGAAGCCTTCTTCCTGGTGGCTGCGTCATCACTGACGTCAAGCTCACGACTCGTCATTCCCAAGTTCCGACCAGGAAAACAACACAGAGAACAACCTCTCAACTCGGAATTCCTGCTCAGGAGCTCAGGATGGTCTCCTCGACCCCGAGTTCAGCAAGTGACGTCATATCAACATGGCCGCTCTCAGCATGAAGAGGAAACACAGCAGCATTTCTTTACCTTTAAATGAGTTACACTGTTTATACACAAGTTTTAGCTTTAGCTCAACCATCATACTGACATCATCTCATACCACTGACTCTACAGTGCACTGTTCTCAGCTAAATATACATCACTCAGCACTCAGGCTAGCTCGCTAACAACAGACCAACATGGACGGAGGCGGATTTATTATTCTCCAACTTTGTATTTTTTTAAAATCAGAACAAAGAATACAACAGTATACAAACATATACAGATTTACACACAAAACTGCCAGAATGTACAGAACATCCATCCCTTAATCAAAAACTCTATATTCAAGAAAAATATTACAAGTCTTCTTTTTTTATTTTTTATTTTTATTTTTATTATTGAGAAGGTTCTCCAAACAGGTGCTGTAGTCGCTGGTCTCCTGGAGGAGATGAATGCAATTTGAAATTCAAACCCTGACAATTTCTTCTTGAGTACGTGGAATTTTCCCAAAATAATAAAAAGTTGTACAAGAAAAATAAAATTATTATTATTATTATTATTGCAATAACACATACATATATCAATATTATTCAACTTGAATATACTGTTTTCCCTCTAATAAAATTTTCTATATTCCCCCAAATCTTTGTGAAATATCAACATGTTTGGAGAATTACAAGTCACTAAAAATGTTTTATGTTTTGTAACATGTTTTTAAAGCTTTTTTGTTCTTAGACAATTTACGCAGTGTAAGATTTCACTCAGATTCTTCTATTAAAAAAGAGAATATTTGGATCTGTGAATGTGGAACTTGGCAAGCAAAAGAATCAGATTTATTACATAAAATTGTCCTTTTTTAGACTGATTACAGTCACTAAATCCCAGGAGCACATCCTTCCAACACAACACACACTCAGTATTAATTTCACTCCTAATAAATCCTCAAATATCTCACCAAAGAGGAGAACAATTTCAACAGAGTCACAACAAAAAGAGCAACTGGGGCATATTTCATTTTTAAGCTTTATTATATACTGATTTGCAGAGTAATATTTCTGATTTATTTGGAAAGAAATCTCTTTTACTTCTTTTTGTTAAGAAAGAGTATTTGGGAGCTTCCACACTTTCCTCTGTATTCCTACTGCATTAATCCAGTAAGCAGTTACAGAGGGGACAGTAACAGTGTCCTGCTGGAATAAAGACTATAAATAATCATCTATTATTACTGCAGGCTGAAGCACAACGCAGTCGACCGACAGGAGCATCAGCTGCACTGAGACTCATAACAAGAACATTTTCAATAAAGCCACAACACCTGAAGGAACAGAAGCAATGACTCTGGAAAATTCTTTCGCAGAAATGGGAGACTGAAAATGATCTGGAAATTCCTTATTTCCGACTTTGTAGCTTTTTATTATTATTATTATTATTATTATTATTATTATTATTATTATTATTATCAATGTATTAAATAAATGTTACATTAGATTGAAACAGATGGCTGACAACTAACAAATGAAGATTAAGTTAAAAAAAAAATACATTGTTTAACATACTAAACAACATGGTCTGAAAAAAGAAAAAAAAAGAAAAAAAGATAAAGGATTATCTTCCTTTTTCCCAAATGCAAATTCAAGATCCATAGTATTTGAGGACGAAGAGTCAAGCAAAGTACTTCTGCATTAAATTTAATAGTGTTTCTTTTTTTTTTTTTAACTTTTTTTTTTTTTTTTTTTTTTTTTTTTTTTTTTTTTTTTTTTTTTTTTTTAAAAAGCATTAAGGACTTTTTGCATCTTGCTTGAGTATTGTGTTAAGACTTCCATTTCAGTTTCTAGTTGAAAATTGACTATTTATGCCATTTGTTTTATGTGGTTGTTAATCATATTCAACAACTATTAAATAAAAAATAATTAAATTAAAAAAAATATATAAAGCGAACAGAAATAAACATGAGGGACTTTTATTTTAAAATGGAAAGCCATTTCAGGCCTCAGCTCCGTTAAGAGCGTCAAAGACAATGTTTGGAAAATGACGCTGTTAACACAGTAGGTCACGTGGTAAAAAGGGACGCGTCTGAACAAACCAGAGTGAAATAAAATCACTGAAACCTAATATTCTTGGCTGCAGGACGCTGAATTCCGAGGAATTCCGAAGAAAGCCGAATGCGGCACTCGGGTTAGGTTCGGTTGCACGCGCACAAGGGCTTGGTCCGAGTGCAGCGCGATCACCGGCTCAGGCGCACGAGCCCGCGGCCGGATGTTGAGCCCCAGCGCGCGCTGAGCTGCAGCCTCTGACCCGCGATGGTCCATCTGAAACCAGGCTCCTGCAGCTGGAGAAGATGTCAGATGTCACCAAGAGCGTCCAGAAGTGGCATGCGAGCTTAAAAAAGGGCACGGACTTCGACTCGTGGGGGCAGCTGGTGGAGGCAGCGGATGAGTACCAGATGTAAGTTACCTTCAGCAGGTCGGCATGGGTAATGCTCTGCTTTCTCTCTGTTCTACAGACAGCATTTAAATTCTCATCCCACCATCCGGTGTCACCCAGGAGAGGAGGAGGAGGAGGAGGAGGAGAGAAGGAGGAGAAGAGGAGAAGAGGAGGATGAGTTCACTTTTGAGTCTGTTTCCTCGAAAGCACGCAGACATCCGGCCCGAGGAAGCTCCTCATCCGCGCTCTAAATTAAAACTGTATTATGGATCGTAATGGGCTTGTTGCACAAACACTTCCGCATTCTTCTGTACTTACGGCTCCTGCGTTTCCGGTTCCTTCACTACACTCGCAATGGCAGTATTTTACAGTCTATAATCAGATATACAAGAACACCTGGAAAACCTTGTTGGTCTGCGTATTTCATTTGGCACAGTTTTTACACCAGATGCCCTTCCTGATGCAAGCTTTCCTAATTTTATCCAGGCTTTGGACCTGGTGCGCTGTCCCGGTGGCTGGGAATCGAACCCGGGCCCTGGCAGTGAGAGCGCCGAGGCCTAACCACTAATCCTCCAGGGACCCCGTCATACAGTCACAACTGCGAGCATTAAAAATACCTATTAATATAAACAAACAGCTGATTCAATAATCAGAATATCTGATGTTAGCCGACACCTGGAGCGTCAAAAAAACATACGGCCCAGTAAATGTTCACATCTGGCCACCAGATTACTCCAGAACCTGTTAATTAAAGTCGTCTTACTGTGGGGGAAAAGCGCTAGTCTCTGTTTGACTTCTAGCACAATAACTTTATTTGACTGAAAATGTGACGCTGTAATCGTGTCTCTTTCTAGAACTAGTTTAGGTCTTACACATTAACAGGGGTCAATACTTACGCAACTGCAGCTTTTATGGTTTTTATTTGTAATCATTTTGCAGACTACAGTGATCATGTTTAATCCGTGTGAGCGTTAAGACCGCACCTTTCAGACAAACGCAAATAAATTACCACATTCAGGAGGAGTCAGTGTTGTTGTTCTACTAAACGGTTTGTGTGTTTTTTGTCCGAACCACTTTACATTAGACTACAGTGTACAGTGGCCCGTATACGAGTTTGACCCCTGACCTTTACACGAGTTTGACCCCTGACCTGTACACAGCTAGCTGATCTTGGTGTGAAATGTCTGCTATACACCTTCGTATGGGAGGAAAAGGTTGTGACGTACTGTAGGTTTACTTCCCGCGGTCTCCGGGGGTCACGGTGTGCACGGAGGTACTCAGCATCACTCCGAATATCTCTTTATTTGTTTCTGTTTCTGTTCTGTCTTAAATACACCGTATTGCCAAAAGTATGTGTACCCCTGCTAGGGCATTTCCAGGTGGTAGCTATGGTATCACCAGTGGTTGCTAAGGTGTTGCTAGGTGGTTGCTATGTCATCCATGGTGGATGCAAGGGTGTTGCTAGGTGCTTTCTGTGGTATTCTGTATGTGCTGTTCAGCTTGCAGATGTCCTAAGACACCTTGGCTCTGGGTTCCTGATCAGAAGGTTGTGGGTTCAAGCTGCCACTGTTGGGCCCTTGAGCGAGGCCCTTAACCCTCTCTGCTCCAGGGGTGCTGTATCATGGCTGACTCTGCGCTCTGACCCCAGATTACTAACAAGCTGGGATTTTCGAAGAAAAGGATTTCACTGTGCGGTAATGTGTATGTGACAAATCTTCTAAATCCTCAGCGTCTCCTTGAGCAGTTGTCCCTGTGTGCTTCAAGATGACCACCATCATCCCTGGGCCAAAAGAAACTGCCTGAGACCTGCTTCAGTGACTAGCGGCCCCTCGCACTCACACCCATCATCATCATCGTCAAGTGCTTTGAGCGGCTAGACGTGAAACACATTAAGAGCAGTCTTCCCACCACACTGGACCCGTTCCAGCACCTCTAGCACCTCAACTGCTCAACAGAGGACGCCATGTCTGCTGCCATATCCACCTGTCTCTGACTCACCTGGACAAAAAACACAATTATATGAGGATGTTGTTCACGGACTTCAGTTCAGCGCTCAGTACTATCATCCCACAGCACCTGAGAGAAAAGCTGAGGCTGCTGGGTGTGATGTGGATCGGCGACACCACCTCCAGCACCACCTCCAGCACCACCTCCAGCACCACCTCCAGCACCACCACGCTGAACACCGACACACCCCGGAGCTGTGCTCAGTCCACTGCTGTTCACACTGCTGACTCACGACTGTGCTTCACTCAGGTGTTCCAGGTGGTTGCTAGGGTGTTGTTAGGTGGTTGCCCTGATGTTCCATTGCTAGGCTGTTGCTATAGTATTCCAGGTGGTTGCTAGGATGTTGCCAGTTGGTTACTATAGTATTCCAGGTGGTTGCTGTGGGGTTGATATGTAGTTACTGTGGTATTCCAGATGGTTGCTAAGGCATTGCTATGTGGTTGCTTTGGTATTCCAGGTGGTCGCAAGGCCATTGCTAGGCTGTTGCTGTGGTATTCCAGGTGGTTGCTAGGATGTTGCCCATTGGTTACTATAGTATTCCAGGTGGTTGTTGTGAGGTAGATATGTGGTTGCTGTGGTATTCCAGATGGTTGCTAAGGAATTGCTATGTGGTTGATGTGGTATTCCAGATGGTTGCTAAGGCATCGTTATGTGGTTGATGTGGTATTCCAGATGGTTGCTAAGGCATCGCTATGTGGTTGCTGTGGTATTCCAGATGATTGCTAAGGCATCGCTATGTGGTTGCCCTGATGTTCCAAGAGGCTGCTAGGACATTGCTAGGCTGTTGCTATAGTATTCCAGGTGGTTGCTAGGATGTTGCCAGTTGGTTACTATAGTATTCCAGGTGGTTGTTGTGAGGTTGATATGTGGTTGCTGTGGTATTCCAGATGGTTGCTAAGGCATCGCCATGTGGTTGCTGTGGGGTTGATATGTGGTTGCTGTGGTATTCCAGGTGGTCGCAAGGGCGTTGCTAGGCTGTTGCTATGGTATTCCAGGTGGTTGCCATAATTCTGATTGAAAAAAAAAAAAGTTTATCAGTTATAAAGTAACTGCGCATTAACATTTGCAGAAAATGCTTTTTTTTTTTTTTTTTTTTTAATGACAGACTTGCACGGCAGCTGCAGAAGGAGGTCCAGTCATCAAGTTCTCAGGATTTCACAGAGGAACAAAAGGTATTTATTTCTGTCACACAGGAATAAAATAAAAAGGTGTAATGTGCACAGTACCATGCTAATGCGTTTAGTCATATTTAATACACAGTATATTTATAGTTAATCTAATCAAACACTTTTTCTTTACTAGAAAACCCTGGGAAAAATTGCAGCATGTCTTGAAATGCGAAGTGCGTCACTACAGGTTGGTGATAATTTAAGCTCTCTGGGTTAAAAAAACGCTTTTATAAGCTATCAGTACTGGATCATTTTGTAACACGGGTTGTGCTGCACGCTTTACCTGTGCACATGTTCATCTCATAGTTGTGAGTGAACTCACAATGCACTCTGCACTAAACAGTAATAACACTATTGATTAACTGCCGTACTATCAGGTTTGCTCAAAGCTCAAAACTTTGTTATGCACGTAAACATGACTGTTATAGTTATCATGTACTAAGAAAAAAAAAAAAAAAAAAAGGAATTTCTCTCGCCTTGTCTTTTAGCTAGCATTACCTGCTACCCATCAGCATTGCAGTGTCAGTGTCTCTGCTCTGAGGGATCAGAACACAGCACGAGAGTGAGCTAGCAGGTTAATGTTAACTACCTAAAACACAAGCTGTGTTTAAAGGAGAAAGGCTTGCAGTGCTGGAGTCTGAGGTTATTCACTCTTCATGGAGATGCCAATGCCAGTGGGAGCGAGCTAGCCAGCTAGTGTTGGATAAAACACAGTGGAAAACCAAACATGTGTGCTTTGGGTCCAAGTTCACAAAGAGAACTTGAAAAGGATTCGACTCAATCTTGAACTCTGAGTTGAATTAGTCAAATCCCTGACCTGTAGATTTGTCAGTTCCAAAAAAAGACCATTGAATTGCGATTAGCAGATCAGTTATGGCTTGCAGTGAAGAAAACCTTCTGTGACATTAAATAAATTATTATGAAAATGGGCTACGACTAATACAGCAAAGTTGCGTGTAGAAAACTAATAAAAAAACGAGTTATCATAGACTAGCGTAATTAAAAAAATTGTTGACCACATGACTTTTATGCATAGAGCTGATACACCTCAAACCCCCACAACCATTTCAGCGTCTTTCTCCTTTTTATTTGTTAGAGCACACAGTCCCAAGAGGAATTTACCTTACAGGATCTGAAGAAACTGGAACCCAGTATGTATACAAAATTTATACATCACATCAAGAACATGACATGGTAGAGTCATTATTGTGGGTTTTACACTGGGACAGGTGGATCAGGTGGAGAAGATCTGGTGGGGATTTTAAACATTTTTATGTTATTTTTGAGCTCAAAAACAGACCTTCGGATCAAGTGAACAGCAAGCCTGTGATCAAGAACCGACCAGTGAAGAAGGATAGAGAACAATTAACACAAATATTGCATTGGCTTACAAGTAGACAAGTTCACTGACAGACAAATAGACTGACCGTCTCTTAGAGACCCAAATTTTTTGAGAATTAGGGGCTTACATAGAACTATAGTCTCTTTATGTGTTTTTATTAAAACAAAAATCTGCTTAAAACAAAAATCTGCTTACCTTAGTAGCTGTGGTCAATTCGGATACAGACTGAAGAAGGCTTTGGTGCTTTTTAGTTGCAGCAGCATGCGCATCCAAAGCAGTTCTTCCTTCCCTCATGCTTCACCACAATGTTTACTAGGCAGATGCTACACGTAGCCGAATGCATGTCTCCCACCGGTGGCTTAAGCCAGTTGATATATTTTTCATATTTTAGCCAGTCATTATTAATCGAAGTAAAACATTTGCACTTCTTTTTGACAGGCCTAGTACTCCCACCATCCTCTTCCTCCGACGCACCTCCCATTCCAACGTCTTATATTGTTGAATAAGCACACGTGTATTATTAAAGTTGACGTTGTTAGCACCTAGACAAAGTGACTAATGAATGAACGTTGTGTAGAAGTTGATAAGTTAGCAACTTTCCCAATGAGATATTGGGAAATGAGAGATATTTTCCGGGACTGATAGTTTAAAAAAAAAAAGGGACAGTCCTGGGAAACCTGGACAGGTGGCAACACTACCTTCAAGGTTGACCAACACATTTGGTGTGTCTAAAAAAGTGGCCAGTAAGCGCAGGCTTATATGTGACATGTAACTGTGTGTGCACGTGCAAAAGCAGCAGATACACACAAATGGTATTGTTCACAAGCTTCCCTGCATGTCTTTGTACATCTGGATGATTAGGAGCATTAGAGGGCAGGTCAGAGCCAAAACACGACAGGTTTCCATGTTGACCTATAAAATGTTTAGTAGTTTCACTTCGGGGTGTTCGTTATGATGGTTTTAGATTATGAACGATTAAAATGTCTTCATGTTCTGTCTTTTCTGAGAGATCACATACTGTAATACTAAACTCAGACATGGCATCCCAAGTTGTTTTATGAA